ACCATTCTCCCAAGATGCCGAAAGTATCAGTCAAACGTAAAGTCGAACTCACGAAGCCACCGGCTAAGAAACCAAGGAAGAAACCAACCGCTAAGAAAACACGGAAGCAGTCAAAACCCGCAAAGAAACAGACTAAAGCGAAACCAAACGCTAAGAAGAAACCGCATACTGCCAAGAAGCAGGCAAAAGCGAAAGTCTATAAGCCCAGGTTTATAGTAACGCCACCAAGAGAGACTATGAGTTCTGAAGAGGAAGAGTTTAACTGTGAGGAAGACAAGTTTAGTTCTGAGGACGATTCGTTAAACGTTACGACTAAACATCTAAACTTTGAAGATGAACTAAACTCTATAGCTAGACAACATAGAAGATTAGGCCCTAAATTGGTATGATTGAGTTTACCAATAAACATGTTTTTAAAAACTTACCCATGGTCTCTGTGTCTTTTGGGTACCAAATCTGTGATTTCCCTTACATTTTACTATAGCGGACCGCAGAGGAAGCCTCTTTTTAAGCTAAATGAACGTAGCGGTAACAAGACTAGCCAAATTCACCTAAATCCAACTGCTACTTCTTTTAGAGACATAGCTATTTACTTGGCTTTATGTAAGGAAAGATAGCAAGCAAAGTCACTACGAGACAAGGAATGCATGATCTTAGGTTTGCGATCGATAAGCGAACAGTATATGACAGATTTCCCATACATTTTACTATAGCGGACCGCAGAGGAAACCTCTTTTTAAGCTAAACGAACGTAGTGGTAACGAAACTAGCCCCATTCACCTGAATTCAACGGTTAAACCTTTGAGAGACATAGCCGTAACTAATTACTTGCTTCTATGTACGAAAAGATAGCAAGCAAGGTCCCTACGAGATAAACACGTTACGATTTTCGGTCACGATCGATAACCGGACAACACCATAGCAGTTGCCTCTACGATCCAATTCATACAGATGTATACCATCGAACAAACCTAGGAAAGCAATAAAACACGGGTACTTCTTCGTCCTTACTCACCATCGCTACATGTACAGTCAAAATCCACAGATCGACCGATCGATAGCGAGTAACATATAGCCTTGGTTTATAGGGAATAAACCCTACGTCTTGGACTGCGCATGCCTTCTACGTACTCCCACTAACTTTGCTAACCCCTTAAACCTGTCTGAAAACCATTTGAAAACGTTTTAAAACGTTTTCTCATACACTACGCATGCGTAGTGTACTGTGCATGCGCATTGTGCAGAGGACAAAATTATGTCCCACAATTGTGAGCTGAACTGTTCATTCTTATATATAAGGTCTCATTTCCCTACTCTCTAGTAACTACTTCCAAGAATCCTTCCGATCAATACCCGAACGTCATACTCAGAAATTGAATACATTAGCCCCAGTACACTACGCATGCGCAGTATGAGAAAACGTTTCCAAATATTTCAAATGGTTTTTATAACTTAACCAATTTTATTTGCAGACTTTTTCCACACGTTCCAAAATTAAGTTGCAGAGGTTTTCCGCACGTTCAAAATTAAGTTGTAGACTTTTACTGCAATCTACTATTCGTTATAGAAAGACAGGTTCATCATTTTTCCTCAAATGTAAGTCTCGTGGAGAAGACTCCTTTCAATACTGCCTCATGGCCTAGCTTCTTGTCAATTTCAGTTTCTATGGTCGGCATGAGTTTTTGCAAAACCTCTTTAATGCATGTCCCTGGTAAAAACTCTACTGAACATGGCTCATCGAGATATGTGAAGGAATAGCACTGCAAAATTATCTTGGTTGTTTTCTCTGTTACGCTCTGGTTAATTATATTTCGGTATAACGTTTCCGTCGCAAGATCTATATCCCATGGTCTCGTATCCATCTTAACTGTGTTTTCGTTCACTGTCTTCGCAGTCAATTCGCTCTGGTCAGTACGTTTTGCCTCTAACTTTTCTAAATCACCGTCCCATTGTCGTTGTTCGGCAGGTGTCCAATCGTGATAGCCTCCTATCCACATGATGGTGTATGCTCAACCAATGATCGATTCAAATTTCACCTCTTTTTATACGTTTTCTGATGACACTTGTAGTATGAAAACATCGTGCTGTTATGTGACTTTATCGTAGGGTATAAATAGACTGAATGTTTGCATGGAACGATCAGTTGTAACTTTGTTCTCGTAGAGGTAACATGTCTGTTTTAATAGATGCAGAAAATATGTCTGACCTTTCAAGTCATATGCCTGCTATAGAAGAACCCACTGTTGTCTCTGAATCAATTGAACCATCAAAGAAAGTCATGTTAAGAGGGTACCGACAGAAACTCATGACTATCAAAGCTAGAATCAAACACCGTGAAAAGGTCATCAAAGCCTTCAGAAAACATCTAGAGCATGGCACGTTTCCAAAGCGTATGAAATCTATACGGCCCTACCCAAAAATGAATTCAGCTGAACCCCAAAGCATTGTCAATGCAGCATGTGATCAAGTCCAATGTGTGATTTTGGGTCAGATGATTCAGGACAAAGAGAAAAACTCACCCAAGATGAACAAAGGTGCGAAGCCCTCAAGGTACAACGACAGGGAGACCAACAGCACCTCAAGACACCGAAAAAACCACAGCTCAACACACCCAAAAAGCCTAAGAAACCCACCGCGGCTCAGCTGCAGCAAGAATTAGCAGATTTACAAGCTAAATATACCCAACTTTGTAAACAAGTAGAAACATCCCATGAATAAACACACAATGAACTAAACAAAAGTGTGAATTTAATGAACTAACCATCTAGCTATTTACAATGCATGTGAAAAAGGTTATACAGCCGTAAAGTGTAAACATCCTCGTACATACTTGGCTTTCAACCTAAGAAAATACATTTGACCTACAAATAAAGACTCTGCTTTAGGATACACCACTGAGACCTACCATTTACCCTTCATGTTTCTTATGACGGGTGGGTTTAAATGTTTGACTATAGGCAATTGTAGTACTAACTTGGTGTTAGAGCACACTGTAAATGTCTGTAGACCTTGGTTGTCTTGTCCCATGTATATCCCTGCTACCTTGTTTTCCAGAATACATTTGAAATAATCGATCACAGCGCCTGCTTTGGGATCAATGTTTCCAATACATGTAGAACCGACGAAGGTACGGTTGCCATTGATTTTGTTTTCCATAAAGACGTAAGAGTGTATCGGTGTCTGACCACAGGGTCAAACCTCGTGTTCGTCAGGTTGAATCGGTCTAGATTCCACAAACATCCACTCATTCTGGAAATCATTCTCTTCACTTAGATGAAGCAGGTGAAGCTGCAAATTTACCTCTTGCTCTCAACAGATACGTCCATGATCACACCACATGTGGGTCTGTCTGTCTTTTTTCCTTGTAAATCTTGCGTTACAATACCAACAGCCAAAGCATGGTGTTTTATCAGTATGGACTGTCTCCATGTGAAGTCTCAAGGTAAGTTTACTTGCCAATGCCTTTTCACACATCGTACAGTGAAAACGTAGTGGGTTGTTGGAATGTTGTTGTCGTTCGTGACATTGCATATTAATTTTCTCCCCAAAGGTTAAGGCACCCCATGGACACTGTACTCGATGTTCTGTCGTACCACGCCGCTTTTTATGATTAAAGAAACGACCTTTGCTTAACTTTTTTCCACGTGTGGGACAAGATCGTGGATATGTTATCTTCGGCATGATTAAAAAATCTGTAATGAATAACACAAATTCAACTCACTGTTATACTCTGCAATAACTCCCTCGGGTTTTGGCAATGACGTCAGCTGGGCATGTTCAGGCAAGTCTATGACGTTATCCAGTCAAGTTTGAACAAGTCACCGCAGAGTCATAAATCAATGTGATAACTATTTTAAATGCATTGGCAGGTCAATGTAGTTGTGCCATCAGCCAATTATAACTTAACCAATCTAGCATTGCTAAAAGGTTCGTGATAAAGACACCGTCCATGGAAAGAATGCAAAGATTGGAATATTGGTTAACACACCAAAACATTTTGTTAATGGGAGTGCTATAAATTCTACTGCTTGAAGGGAAATAAAACAGCGTGTTTTCATCGAGTACCCATGACTTGTAATCCAACGTTAAAGGGCTCGTAATAAAGCATTGCTCATAGACATCAGCAAACTTTCATTCCAACTGGGATTCGGTGTTGGTGAACTGTGAGAACCAGCTGAATGTCTTCTACGGTATCGTTGTTTCCGACCTCACGGTCATATAATGCTGTCCACTCTACAGAAATCACAGGATTGTAAATATTATACCAGTGGGAACTCATCGGACGTTTTTTCTTCCAATAAGAAACTTGCTCCAAATCTTGCATAGCCACCAATTGCATCTTGACTATCTTGAATATACAACTGAGACCTGGTTTATGATTAAAATAAACTGTGTCCGCAGGATTTTATTCGCACTCGTTGCCAGTCCCTCTCCTAGTTGGGGATTAAACCCTAGTCTCATGGGGTTAGGGTTAGGGTTAGAAGTTGGGGTTAAACCCTAGTCCCTTGGGGTTAGGGTTAAGGTTTTAACACTGAGCTCGACAGATATAACCCTCAACATTAAACTCGATTGATTTAGGGTTCATGGTTTAGTTTCACCCTAGTTTTTAAGGTTAGGTTTTTGGGATTTTTCACACCATCAAACACATACCGTTGGAACTGTAACAAACACTTTATTGATGGGTTGGCGCCACCATGCAACCTTACCCTACTAGCTACTACGTACAGTTGACATCATGAAATAATTAAAGTTATCGTACTGAAAAATACATCTATTCACTTAACGTCTCACATAGCCATAGGGGTATGTGATGCCTGTGGCTCTGTCCACCACGCGTTTATCCCAGTTGACTTGAAATATTTTCACCATGTCCTCCAAATGAATGCTTTTGATGTTGCTGTTACGCACAAAATGATTGTAAGTGGTTGTTTTCAAGCAGCGTTTAGGTTCTTGAGGGTCTTTTAGCTCCAATTGGATATGCTTCAACATTGAATGACAATTCAACACTTGTTTGACAGCGTGATTGCTTTTGATGCCGTTGCTTTTGCACTCTGTCTTACCTTCCAAAGTCTTGGACCTGGTGCACAAAATTCGTCTATGTGTCCTCCTTCAAGTTCGTCTGTAAATTGTCCTAAAAACTTGCCCAGAGGTAATTTCACTTGGTCTGGCTTCCAGCGGTAAATGACCGAATCGGTGTCGTAGTACAACACCCGCTCCTCCAACTTTTGTAATTCTTCATACAACCTCAGCCTAGCCAAGGCTATTATGAATAAAACGACAAAAATATTGCCTTTCAGATTGGGCGCACAAGCTCGGTCTTTTTTCACCGTCACGACTTCCAGCACATCCTCGTTGTAAACATTTATACTTTTCACAATCACTGAATCATCCGCCATCAGCTTGTCCCAATCTGATGCATTTTGTAGTGTTCTTGTTTGTGGTTTATTGTCTGCTTCGCCAAATTTCCCCCAAAAAGAGTTGAGCATAACCTTGGCCACTGCTTTACGTCCAGGATTGACCATAATCTTGTCTTTGTCTAGTAAAACATCCTCATGTGCTTCATACTCTGCTATGTAAGCCTCCTTTTGTTCGTCGGTCACACAATCGCTTGGCCAACCACTGCTTTCCTGCTTGGCTTTTAAAAACTTTTTGACGTATGGTGCAAATAATCCTGTTTTTGTTTGACTCTCAGGCCCATGCCATACCTCATGGATGTGAAAAATTGTGTAGCCTTTACGTACAGCCATTTTGAGTTCTTCTGGACACCAGGTCCCAGTCATCGTCCGTTCCTCATCACTGTGTGAGCACATATTGGTACGTTGATACCATGGGTGGTCCAACTGTTCTTTGGCACATGTGGCACACAATGTAAACATGAATTTGTCACCAATTTTCATTGGTAATACTGGAGGAAATAACTTCTCAGGAGCCAATATGTCCACTTTTGCTGCACCAAAGTAACTGTGAATGTCTTGATCCACTGGATTTTTCATGATGGTTTGATGACCCACTAGATACGTACCATACTTGTTGATTGAGGGGTACAAAGAAGTGAAATCAATGTAGTCAACCCATTCATTCTTTTTTGCTTTGTAATAAGAACAACTTAAGCCGGTACGTACTCCAAACAGAGCATCTTTTGTATTTAAAGGTACCACCCACGTCAGATCCTCCACCAGGGCTTGTAAATTGGCGTCCGAGGCTAACTTGCATTTAAATTTGCACTCCCCCTCTTCAATGACTGTGTACCCTGCTGCCTGTAACAATGCTGTTTTCTTTTTTGTCAGTTCATACATTTCATCCACCGTGCGATCTGGCTGATACCATGCTTTAAGTTGTCGACTGTTTGGCTTACACTTCTTACATCCATGAAAGTCAGTCCCATGAAACTCGTTCACTGTCTTCTTGATTGGATCGTATCCATCAACACGTACTTTTCCATACGTTTCTAACATGATTGTGTGCTCCCCGAAATTACCAGCATGCTTAATGCGATTTCCACCCAACTTGTTATTTTGATAAAACAACCATTGGAATCCAATCTTGCTCTGTGCTGTCTTGATTCCGCCCCACCCATGAGTAGGTTCCACCGCAATAGATTCTGGTATCATCTGATTGTTAGGCCAAAAGTTATGACAGGCACTCGTTATTGTGATATTTTCTATGAGGGGGGTAAAACTACACTCCTTTTCAAAATCAGTTGCAAACGTTAGACATCCTTCTTGAGGAGTTTGACGTCACTTTCACAATACTCCAGCAGCTCCTTTTTGAAGTTCCATACCTCTCCTTTTAAAACTTCCTCTGCATGCCTTTTTGCCACGGCTGTTTTTTTTTTTTTCGTATTCATGCAGTCCGTTTCATAAAACTTTAAAGATGGAATACTCCCTTCGTAATCTTCATTCTCGGCTCTATTGAACTTGGGTGGAAAATAGCCCTTTTTCAACTCTGTCAGGGCAAAGGTCTTGGTAAAATTCTCCAATGGCAAGTTGAGGAATGACATGGAATCTTTAAACTTCAGATTGCCGCATTCAAAGTACAAAATCTTCTGGCCTGTCGTAAGCACCTTGGAGACCTTTAGGTTTATTTCATACCGTTGTTTGATGATAAACAACCCGTCGCACCCTCTAAAGTTATGAAACAGGATGTGAAGTTGAAGCTTTTCTTTTTTCTCTTTTACCCACGCCATCAAATGTTCAAGAAAATCTCGAATGAAAGATATACCCCAAAAGTGATATTTCACGTCCGAGGCTACTCGTTCAAAGCAAATAAAGTTTGGTGTAAAAGTTCTAGAATCGTCAATGTCACATTCAATGTCTGTAAACACCAATTCTTTTTCTATGTTACGACATTCTGCCCACTGAAAATGCGTAGAGTAATAATCGACCACTTTATTATCCGGAATACTGGTAATGTCTACACAAAGGGCTGGTAATTCTTTCTTAGCCTGCTCGACTGCTTCGTTTCCAGCTTGACAGACTGGAAGGTCTGGTCTCTTTCTTTGAATGTGGTAGGTTTCCTCACGATGTCTTGAACTATATGACCATCAGTAGTCGACATCATTGTAATGGCTTCCAAGCAACGTTCTTCTGCCCTTTGTTTGTTCTCCCGACGTTTATTGTCCCTGTAACATTCGCTGACAATATGGCAATGATGACGATACAAGTCGACATACTCCAAACAGTTGGGACACTGTCCTTGACCACATTTGTGCTTCACCCCCTCTTTATTTTTGAAAGACACGAGACACGTCTTGCATTTGCAATACATTTCACAAACACTTTTGAATGTTTCCTTGGGCCATATCTCAATATCGTTCTCCATCTCCGCCTGTTTGCGCATTTCCCTTTCCATGGTTGTTTCTTCCTGTTTAAGCTGAAGGAGATGAGCTTGGTAGCAATCTTCGCCAAAGAATTGTCGGTTGCATTTGGTACATGTAATTGTGGGGTTACTCCAACCAGTGTAATAAGGACATCCTTGAAAATCATCATTTCGTCGACGCATACAGCTAGGGCAATTCCGATGTAAACAATTATGATGGTTTACATCTTCATGATCATACCCTTTGCAGCAATAACGACAAAATTTGCAGCGGTTCATGATAGGTGCGACGCTGTATAACCCATGATAATGTGCCTGGGTCTCGCCTTAGTCATCTTCATAATAGGTTTTCACCAGTTGAATTACTTTAGGAGCATTTTTGTAAGCTTCACCTGTAAATATTACACCACCAAGTACTGGGTCTACGACAATGAGTTGGTATCCTTTGGGTCCCAAGTAGTTCTGAAATTGTTCTATCTCAGCATACCCACAAGGGCCTTCTTGGACACCAGCTGCTTTGTATAGCTCCCTTGCAATTTTCAACTGCTACGTTTTCTTGCCGCGGTTTTTGCATACACTGTCAAAGCATCTAGGTTCACCTGCTTTGTGTTTCGCGTACTCCCGCGTCACTGCGATAGCGCGACCACAGCATAACTGATCTTTGTTTTTGACTTCATATACACAGCGCATCTCTTTGACTACCTCTTGCCAGATTTTTTCACCCGGTCTGTAATTAGAATTTTTACCGCCTTTAATCACGACGTATTAGGGTCATGGAGACGGTGAAACCTCTATCGGACGAAATAAATTCACCTGAATTTTTAAATGACATGTTTTAAAAAACATTGGCGATATGATTCAGCATCGATTGAGTGCGCTCTGATCGCTGATAGTAATCATCTGCAGGTATGTGCCAGGTTTCTCCAGTAAGACCTGTTTCTTTAAAATGTTCCTTACTTCCAATTTGAAAAGCTAACTCATACTTTGTTGGATCAATGTTCATGTCATCCATCATATTGTCCATACCAACCGCCAATGCATGAACTGCTTCCACACCTAAATCCTCATCTGATTTTGCTTCACGAAGCTGCTCCAGGCTAAAGGTAAACTTCTGATCGATGACTTTCCCTTTTTTCCAATTTTTTGGTCTACCCATTTTGTCAATGTTTGCTTGAAACAATGGATTCGAACCGCCACCATACTCATCAGGTCTTATTGCTTCATCCGCTTGTTCGTTATCGTTCTTTGATGCTTTTGGTGGAGTACTTTCAACCTCGTCCAAGGTGCGTTTACGGTACGTTGCTGCACCGCCTCTCTGGCTTTCAACACTCAAGCGGGGTACCTTGTTGGAATTCAATAATTCCAGCCTTAACAATTCAGCGCTTTACGTTCCGTTCGACATGTTAACGCAGTGATACGATGATCATGAATGAAATTTCAGCCCAGGTGTCCGGCTTTTATACTGTACTGAAATCTAGAGAATGACGTCATGATCTAAAAATAGAAACACATCATCGGGCTTGCTCAAACTTGCCCGCCTTCATTCAACCGTGACCAGGTTAAGGATTAAATTCGACTGATTTAGGGTTAAAATTCACTCGCTTGGTTAGGGCTATTCGCTCACTTTGTTAGGGTTTGGGAATTCATTCACTTGACTGGGGTTAGAGAATGAACTCACTTGGTTAGGGTTAGAAAATGCACTCGCTTGGTTAGGGTTAAAATGCACTCGCTTGGTTAGGTTTTGGGAATTCACGCGCTTGGTTAGGGTTAGAAAATTCACTCACTTGGTTAGGTTTTGGGAATTCACTCGCTTGGTTAGGGTTACACATTTCGCCCCGCTCGAATTTCTCAAATTTAGGGTTAGACAATTCATTCGCTTGGTTAGAGTTAGACATTGAACTCGACTGATTTAGGGTTAGACAATTCGCCCCACTCGAATTTCGCTACCACTCCGTTCGCGTCCTTAGCAACGGATGGTGTCTTGGTGTCCGCTAAAAATGTGTTCGGTTGCTAGGCGTTTTTGTCCGCCCATAGCCGACCTTATACTACTGGCACTTTCAACCAATCATAATTCAACTCTTTTTTTCGTATCTCTTTTGTACGAGGACATTGCAAACACCTCATGCAAAAATTATTTCTATTCTTATGTTTGGTCTTATTGTACATCAAGCTATTAAAACCCTTGATTAGCACATAGTGTTTCTTCTCTCCTTCAGTAATCAACAGCAGGTTCAATTCATCTTCTTCCGGCCCCTTGCTTACATTGGTTGGAAAAAAACTGTTTGTTCTCATATCCGAAAACATTCACATTACAATGATTTTGCTCCTCTATTTTGTGGTAACCCTTTGCACTAACAGGAAAATCTGTATCCCTGTAATTAAAAACATGTTCTGCTGTTTTTCTATCCATCTTATTAATCTGTTGTTTGTTATTATCTCTTGGATTCTCATGGCTGGCATGGCACCAGAGGAAACACTTGTCATCATTATTCTTTCTAATCAAACCTTTTTGGGGTTCCTTAGCTTTGTTGGTGGTGGTATAAATGAATTGCCTGCCAATGGATTATACGCAGCTATATTAATATAGTGCTCATCGATGCTTCTAATAGTCCAGCCACTACCCTCAGACAGCCATACACCAATACCATTCAATAATTTCTGTTGTGATAATTCCAAACTTGGTAAAACATCATTGGGGTTAATCACAATCTGCGGACGACTATTAAAATATATTGGGTCTGAATCTATAATCTTATCATCCTTCGTCTTATTAAAAGTAACCACAAGAGTCTCCACAAATTTGAAACCTCCTGTATCAGTCAATATTTGGCTAAATAATCGACTAATAGCCAGTCTTGTATTTTGTAACTCCACTTATGGATCTCTATCAGACTTCAATAATATCTGAAATGATTTGGTAAAACCCTTAAGAGCCCTCCTTTTTTCATTATTTCTTGTCCTTGGGGCTGGCACTGGTCGTTGTTTCTTAGTCGTAGGAGCTGGAATAGGCCTATATTGCGTCATTCTTCTTGAAGTGGGAATAGGGCGTCTTGCTTCTCCGCCTCCCATTTGACCAGAGTGAATAGGGCGTCTTGATTCTTCCCGTATTCTAACTAAGTATTCAAGCTCATCCTTAGTGACTCCAGATAATAATCGCCTCATTAGTTCATTACGATTGGTCCTCATATTATTACTATAGATAACTTTTTTCACATCTGCACTCATCGGCATACTAGTAAAAAGAGCCAAACGTTTAAATCATTTTGGACCCCCTATTACGTAGCCTGTGCCAGGCTCTCAGATAGTATAGTGGAAACGTATTAAAACGAGCAAAGCGAAAATAAGACGCGCACGACTTGGGAAAGGGGGCGGTGGCGGCGGGAAAAATGGGAGAGAGAGCCTGTTAACATTTCTTTAACGACCCTCTTCCGCCCATTTTTGTCACGTCTGGATTCGGCTGTCAAAACTGTTAACACTTCAGGTAGCTACAATCATTCTCAAGTTTCTCGCGTGAGCATTGCACGCGACGCGAACTCCTTGTGCGATGTGTGGAAATTTATGTCTTCGAATTCGTTATCCTGTGAGAGCATCCGTTTTTTTGGCTCTAGTTTATAGCAATAAAAGGGGGTGGTAAGTTTTTTCCTCTGTTGGGTAGGTTATGCTCTGGAAGGTTCTACATTGTCACTGAGCAAATGTGACTTTAGCCGCTTGTTTCACACTGAGAGGTCATGGCACACATATCGATTTACTGTGGTGTTTGTTTCTGGTCGGCAGGATTTGCCCTCTGATGAGA